ATGAGACTAAAGGTAAGGATATCAGTTAGAAATCCAGGCAGGATATAGTAAAGGGCTGGCTGAAGCAATTGGCACAAGGACCTATGTTCTCCATATGGAGAAGGTGGGCTTGACTCATTTTCAGTTATCATGCCAAGGAATCATTGTGATACTTTAATCTGAAATTCATGTTTTAATTCTTGAAAGTTCTTAGTCATTATCTCTTCAAATTCTCCCTTTCTTCTATTCTCTCATAACTATTAGGCATAAGTTGTACCGTCTCAATTCTATCCTCCATACATCTCCTCTTGTCTTTTTTTTACTCTTTATCTTTCTGTTACATTCCCTGTAATTTCTTCAGATCTTTTTTCCAGTTAATTGATTCTACAATCTGCTCTTTAACTGGCTATTATAATTAACTAGCTGTATGACTTTGGTCAAGTTATTTAATACCTCTGTGTTTCAGTAGTCTCATCTGAAAATGGTGATAATTTTAAAATTGTTCCCAAGATTTGATGCATTAGATTATGTATTTAGAATAATGCCTGACAAAGTAAGTATTCAATAAATTAGCTATTATTATTATTATTTAACAACCAGAAACTTATTCTCTCACAGTTTAGAGGCTGGAAGTCCAAATTCAGGATGACAGCTCTAGGGGAAGGCTTTCTCTCTCTGTGAAAGGTCCTAGTCTCCTTTCAACATCTGTGGGCCTGGTGTTCCTTGGAGATTGCCATGTGTCTTGGCTTCAATCTTCCCCAGGGTCTAGGAGGTGCACAGCACAAGGACTCTGGACCTAAAGGAAGCATTCTATTCTTGGTTCTTCTTTCTTAGTGGTAGTAGGTCCCTCTCTAGCTATTATTTTTACTAGAAGATATTTTTCATTTTTTTCCTCACATCTACTTTTGTCTTTCTTTAGTGTCCCATTTTTAAACACACAACTGCCTCTGATTCATTGACTACAGACTAATGAGCTGGTTCAAAATCAAAACTAAAATAAGGTTAGTGTTTTACTTGATAAATCACAAGTCTGGGTTTCTAAAACCAATATTTTTCTGTCAGTTTCAGACCATTCTCCTACTGACTACTATCATTCTTGTTCCTTTTTGTAAAGAATATGTTGTTGTTGTTGTTGTTATGTGCCGTCGAGTCGGCCCCGACTCATAGCGACCCCTCCTTGGGTTTCCGAGGCAGTATCACTACGGAAGTAGGATTGCCCAACCTTCCTTCCGAGGAGTGGCTGGTGGGTTTGAACCGCCAGCCTTCTGGTTAGCAGTCAAGTGCTTTAGCCACTATGCTAAAGAATATGTTAGGAGGAACATAATCCTACAGATTTATTAAACTGTCTTCTACCTTTCATTCTGTGATTTTTCACTCTGTGAATTATTTATGGAGTAAACATAGCATATGGTGCCTATAGTGGTTGTTGACAATTTTATAGATTCTGCACTTTCAAATGAGTTAGTGTTACTAGGATGATTCATTGATGGACCAGGAAATAATTTTCAGTGGGCAGAAAAGGAATCTTGTGCTGGCCTCCTTCTTTAAAAAACTGTTCTTGAATGAACTGACATTATTTTGGATAAGCTTCATACATATTCTCCTAACCAGTATCAACTGCCATAGAGTTGATTCCAACTAATGTGGAATCTACATGTGTCAGAGTAAAACTGTGCTCAGTAGGATTTTCAATGGCTGCTTTTTGGAAGTAGATCGCCAGACCTTTATTTCAAGGTACCTCTGGGTGAATCTGAACCTTTAACCTTTCAGGTTAGCAGCTAAGTATGTTAACTATATGTACCACATCTAGGCACTCCATATATCCTCCTACTACCACCAATTTATAGAATAGAAATCTAAGCATTCATTTATATGAAGATGATTGGCCATACTATTTAATTAGTGAAAGGATGACTCAAAAGCAATCACTGTAAAATCAGTTATCACTTTTAAAGGATATTCTCTAACACTTAAATGATTTATAGATAACAAACACATATAACAAGTCAATTTAGTCATTGTTACCTGAATGTGTTTTGAAAGAATTTATTATGAAGAGTCAACAGCAATTTTATAGATTGAACAGCAAGTGCTCAAAGTTAGATATGCTTGAACTAGCTAAGAAAGGTTTTTCATAAGATTCTCTTGAAAATATTTTCAAACAATTATTCTGGCCTCATTCTCATGGAACTTTTTGGGCCTGTCTACTATCTGTGTTAAAGCTAGTCCAAAAGAGAATATGAATTACTTTAAAACCAATTAGTTGGCATAATGTAGTCCACAAAGACAATGTTTGACATTCTACTTTGGTGAGTAGCAACTGGGGTCTTAAAAGCTTGTGAGTAGCCCTCTAAGCTACAACTATTGGTCTCTTATTGTCCAGAGCAAAGAGAAGTGAAGAAAAATCAAAGACTCAAGGAAACAATTAATTTAAAGGACTAAGGGGCCATGTGAACCAAAGCTTACACTACCTTGAGACCAGAAGTAAATGGTGCCTGGCTAGCACTACTGATCATTTTGATCAGGATCACAAGGGAAACTTCTAGTCAGAGAGGGAGAAAAAAGAAAAGCAGAACAAAATTCGAAACAAAAATGACTGAACTTACTCATCTGACAGAGACAAGTGGAATCCTTAAGACTATGGCCCTTAGTCACCCATCAAGCCTGGAACTGAACCCACCTTTGGGGATCAACTTTCAGCCAAACAACAGACAGCCTATAAAGTAAATAATAATACTAGAGTGGAATGTAGTACTCAGAATTATCAACCATATCAGACAAAAAGGGCAGCATCTGTTAAAAAATAAATTTTAGAAGGCAGGAAGGGACAGGAAAGAAAAATGAATGGAAACAGGGAACTCAGAGAAGAAGCAGGAAGAGTGCTGTTAAAGTGAGGCGACTGCAACCAATAATCACATAACAAAATGTGTATAAATCATTGAATGGAAAACTAATTTGCTCTGTAAATCTTTATGGAAGTAAACTGTCACACCTTCCTTCCACAAAGTGGCTGATGAGTTTGAACTGCTGACCTTCTGGTTAGCAGCAAAAGCCTTATCTACTATACCACCAGAGCTCCTTAGTAACTGTTAATCTCATGACTCAATTAACTAATATTTAAAAGAAAAAAAAAAAGAAAAAAGAAAAAAAAAAACAATCTTATAAATGAACTGAAAAATCTGTTTTCAGGCAAATATATATCTGAGGAAAGGTAGTAACATAAGCATTTACAACTATGATTTTAATACTAAAAAAAGCATATGTCTTGCTGTATTCAAATCATAACAGCTACACCTTTGATCTGATATGCTCAAAGCTATTCTGTGCACAATTACTCTTATACTGACAGCTCAATCTTTATTATTATTTTTTTTTATCACCTGTACTGAATGAATACTATGTCAGTGCACAATCAGAAATTTAAATTGTAGGGAGATCAGAAGTGAAGAAAACTAAGAACAAAGTTGTTCAAAGCATTAGAAGAAGCAAGAGGAAATAAAAAGCAAAAGATGAAGCCACTTTTTTTAAAAGGAATCTATATCGTGGTACAAAATGATCTGAGTACATAAGCAGATAACTGCCCTAACAGCAGTGAGTAGAATCTATTTGTGGGATAACTGAAATGGAAGGATGGGCTCAGAACATAAAAGGGAGTGAATACTAGAAAAGTTGTAAAATTAACATCCATTTTCCTCTGGGAAGAAGAAAGGAGAATTCCAAAAGTTATGCTGCTTCTCTGAATAGATTTCTTAGCATTTCTTTTATTATGACATATAAGAACCTTATCATTGGTGTCAATCTACTTTTCCTGACCTGTTTTTTTTCCATTCCTTTTCCACATGCTACACTCTAGTCATACATAACTATTTACTATATCTAAATACACCATGCCTTTGATTCCATGCTATTGTGTAAGTTTTTACAAGTTTATAAACTCTACTGAAAACTGTTTGCTTTGCCTGAAATGTTCTTTCCTCTCTTCTATATTTAGTGAATTAAAAAAATGGTCCTTTAAGATATAGTTCTACTGTGATTTCCCCTGACATTTGGTGTTCCCTCTACTGTACTCTTCTAGCTCCCATGGGAACCTTTCTCACAGCACAAACTTCACTGGCCTGCAATATTCTGCACATGCCTCCCACCTGCAACTAGGCTAAGAGAAAGAAATAAGATTATAGTCACATTTATATTCCAGAGACCATGGCAGAGAACCTTAGCAAAGGTTTAGAAGGAAATAAGCCAGGACTGAAAATATAGAAGGACTCTGCGCTAGGAATATAGATTTTACTCAGTAAAAGGTATTTAATCAATATAATAGAGAAAATAATTGTGTACGGGGAAGTAGAGAAAAGCAAAAGATCTGAATGATCATTATTATGTTAAACTCTAACTTTGTAATTTACCTCAATTGTACCAGGGGCAGTTGATTTCAAAAAGGAAAGAATAAATTATAAGAAGTATTAAATAATGTATTATTTCTACTAATTATTTTATTATTTACTTATATTACTATATTACTTATTTCTACTATATTACTTTAGTCCTGGAAGTTCAGTGAATGACTTAAAAACAAATCTTCCAGTAAGTGGTAGAAATTACAACAGGGGAAACTTTAATATATTCAGAGAGTTGAACATCAGGGGTTCTAAGTTTTCAAATTAGAATCTTGTGGCACACTCCCAAGAATTCAGGTCCACACTGAGAAAAAGGCAAGCATCATAATATCATTAAAGAACCTAAATATAAAACAGATCATAACCCAAAATACTGTTTCTGAAACAAAAAAATAAGACTTTTATAATTATTCTCAAACTTTATCAGGATCCTAATAAACCTAACATGAAGAGTTTAATATGTGACCTTTCACATTTTAAAAGCTAATGTGGGGAAACAGATGAAAAGTATAAAATACTTATTTTTAAAGTTAATCTTATAAAAAATGAACTATACTTTATATAGGATTTCCTTCCTTCACTGATGTAAAAATTCCCAGCCACCCACGAAGTGAGTGCAGTGCCTACCGTGCTGTTGGTGAATCTGTTTGAGTATGCCGTGATAACACCACATCTGCTCCCTGTGAACAGCTGGCAACTGTCAGGGACCCATGCACAACTAGTCACCTTTGGAAAAGGATAAATAAAAGATTATTGTGTGTTGAAAGTATGGGAAATCACATTTACTTTTCTTACAACTATTTAATAAATATATAATTGAAAAATCTAAGGTAAACATTTTACTTGAAACAATTAGAACAGTGCCAGGATAATAAAAAAAATATTCTGTAATTTTAAGCCAGATGTCTAAAAGCTGTTTCAAAATTAAAATGTGTTATAATGCCATCTATGATTTTGCATTTCTCTATATTTAAACATGTGGTCATTTGTTCCCTAGAAATGTAACAAATTCCTGAGTAGATCCAAGGTGGGGTGCGTGTTTGTGTTATACTGCTTTCTATTTTCATTTCTTTCTCTTTTCTTGGTGAGTAGACAGGGTACATATAGATAGAGCTTTCACTTCTAACAGTTTTAAAGATTAAGTTGGAGAAGCAGGAAAGATTAATTTGAAGGAAAAAAACCCCCCAAAAACCATGATTATTCCTTTGACACAAAACCTTCTGTATGGCAGGACTATGCAAGGTCAGCTTAGTTCTCCACACTTCCTGAGAGGTATTCCTTTTGGCATTAGCTGAATCATAGGGCTATTTCCTATAGCAGCTGTTTCCCACAGTCACTTCACTTGACCAAGAGATGAGAGGCCACTGGTCATGGACTTCTTCCTCTTCTCTCTTTTATACCTCAACATGTCTCTCTGTCTTCTGATTAAGAGGAGGAAGTGCTTCCTCATGTTAAGACCAGGTCTACCTCACTCCCAAGGTTCCTCAAAACCCTTGTCCTCTCTCTTATAGTTTCAAAGTGGCTTTTGCTGTCTTCATATTCTAGATGAATTTTCTCACACCCAAGATTTAATGAAAGAACAATGTATTTCTAAGGATGAAAATGAAATATGGCATTTTCATATGTCATTTACTATTTGACAGTAAGTACTTTATCACACAGTATTGTGCTACAAGAATCTTGACTATCTCATTTTATTGAAGGGCTTTTGAGAGTATTCTTTAATCTTTTGTGATATGTGTGTCAAACTTTACATGATACAAAAATTTTGCAATGCTTAAATTCTTATATAAGATTGTACTTCACATCCCTTTATTCTTACTTCTCTACTTCACTGGTAAAATGTTTTAAAAATGGAAAAAATAAAAAAGGTCCACTGGAGCCAAATAACAAATGATGATGACCTTTTTCCCAGGTATTATGGGGTTAAGAAAATAAGTCATTGTTCTCCTTTTATTTTCACTGTCAAAAATTCCCCAAAAGTAGTTTACTCCATTTCTTTTTTTTTTTTTTTATTATTAGGATTTGGGTGAAGATTTACAGAGTAAATTCACTTTTCATACAGCAGTTCACATATACTTTGTCTCATGTCATTGACCAAAATTTACAATG